ACCAACAGGGATGGAGAGTCCACGACTTTTCCTGGCAATCTATTCAGCACTTAAAACACCTCACAGTATAAAAATGTTTCCTGATATTCAGAGTGAACTTCCCCTGTTACAGTTTGTGCACATTGCATCTGGGCCTGTCACTGAAATGAGTCTGGCTCCCCCATGAGATATTTATACACATTGATAAGGTTCCCCCCAAGCCTTCTCTTCTCTGGCTAAACAGTCCCAGCCACTTCACTCTCAATCCCTTACCAGATACATCAATCCCTTATCATCTTCAGGAAAAAAAAAACCAAAAAACCTAAGGAACTACAGACCAGTGTAGTCGGTCTCAGTGTCTGTCAAGATCATGGAGCAGATTCCCCTAGAAACTCTAAGAAGGCACATGGAAAATAAGGAGGTGACTGGTGACAGCCTACATGACTTCACTAAGGGTAAATGGCACCTGACAAATCTGGTGGCCTTCTATGATGGGGTTACAGCTTTGGTGTGTGAGGGAAGAGCGACTGACATCATTCACTTGTGCAAAGAACTGGCCACTGTCCTGCGTGAAACTTTGTGTCTAAAGTGGACAGACATGAAACTGACAGAAAGGTGCCAATCGGTGGACAAGGAATTGGCTGGATGGTTACACTCAAGGAATTGTGGTCAATGGCTTCACATCCAAGTAGAGAGCAGTGACAAGTGGTGTTCCTGAGGGATCAGTTTTGGGACCAAATCAGTTCAACATCTTTATCAATTATGTGTTTTGTACTTTCCTGTACCCCTTTCAACCATACACATATATACAGGTTTTGCCCTCAGAAAACAGGGGTAGGCAGTTTGTATTTGGTTCTGAAAAGAAGAGACATCCGTCCCAGCCACTGAGTGCTCACTGCCAGTAGGGTAGCCTGACAAAAACCTGTCTAAACACTTACATATCTGCCAGGCAAGTGGATCCTTGTCCTCTGATTTAAAATTGGCAAGTGACCCAAGTGCTTTGTTTTCTCTTCCACCTGATGCACTCAGCACTGGTAGCTGCTAGGATTCCATTGAAGATATTTTGCTTTTTTGTGATTCTGACAAGGGGAAAGAAGCATTTAATAATGAAAATCTGTTGCTGGTGATTCAGCTGATCTGGTATCAGAAACCTTAGTGTATAGGTCACATCTTCAGTGTAAAAGCTTCTGTGAAAGAACATCTACTGGACTAAGCCAAAGTATATTTATAAATTCTGCCATATTAACTTATTCCTAAAGATGCTGGATTTGGGTCTGAAAGGGTTCAATGAATGTACCATACACATGTATATGACAGTAAAGCATTCTTTGAGTGACCAGGGCTTTTTTCCACCATGAGAAAATGGTTTCTGTTATCAAGTATTTTATCCAGCTTATGTCACATCCTGGTTGGCCTTCACTGCAACGGGTAGATAAAGCCTATGCCAATGGGAGCATTCTCTAGCTAAGCCATACCAGCACAGTGAAACTAGACTTATATTTAGTGCTCCTACTAATTTTAATTCTAGCTTAGGGCTAAGACCTCCCCCCATACATTATTAATATAAGTGTTAGCATACATTACTAATGTAGGTGCTAGGAAGAACACTTCAGGGTCAACTGCTGATTTGTGACTTGATTTGAATTCAAAACTTCTCTGAGTTGAAGTGAATTTCTTCTTGCACATGAATAGGAGTCTGGTTGGGAGCAACACTTGGTTTCTTCCAGATAGTTAGTAAAGACAACTGCCCAGTCAGGGACCCATGGGTATTGCCACAGCAGCTCAGTGCATGCAGTCCAATATCCTGATTGCCATGCTAGTAATTCTCAAATATTTCAAAGGCAGGTAATTTTGTGGAATAATCTCCTCAAGAGTGGCAATCTGCCTCTGACTTCAGACAGCAGCTGGTGTATAGCCTGAAGTATCAGCCTTTATTTGAAAAAAATATGAATTATTAGAAATTATGAAAAATTCATAAATGCTAAAGTCTTGTCTGATATTACTGTGGACCCTGATCGCATCTGGTTTTTTCCTTAATTATACACTATAACAGTAGACTTTAAAATTTAAATTCAGATTATGTGAAAACTTTGTTTAGAAGTATTTCCTTTGATCTGTTTCAGTAGTGCTAAGGCCAGTTTTGTAAGTAGAGATAGTATCTTATAATAGACCCAGCTGGAACTGTTGGAACAAACCCAGTGTTCACACATTACTTTTTCCAACTACTTGGTTAGTTAAACAAGATTCCTACCTACAAAACTTGTCTTGCCTACACCTTAAAAAAAAGTCAGCTACAGTAACTCTTTCCCTTAAAAATTATTGTAATTCATTTGCATTATCTGATGCCAGCCTGCACTTAAGGTTTTGTTTCCACATGATTTAATAAACATGTTAATTCTGGGTTGACACAAAGAGAAGCTGTCACTCTCAATAGCAAACATGGCTTTCTCAAGAGTGGTTCAAATGTTAGGGGGGAGCTGCTTGGCACTTGCAAGCTGATTTGGCTGGAAAAAAAGAGCTCTTAGCAGATGATTCCTTTCCAAGGATTTCCCATCTCCCCCCCCCCCCCCCCCCAATTTTTCATCTCGTAATGTTTGGTTCTGCCTTTCTGGCGCAGCTCATACAAACTCTGTCACTTGGCCATGGCTGCAGGAGTGCATACAGCAGTATTTCCCCCTTTCTGGGTTGAAAAGCACACCACAGTTACCACTTAATTACAAAGTGGGACAAGACCCAGGGGTATCTATCTCTTTCTCCTTCCTCTTGCTTCCTGAATTTCATGCAAAGCACAGCAACACTCTCCACAGAGGTGCCAGCTGCGATGATCAGGGGACCCAGTTATCATCAATCACTCCTTGGCAGGAATGCATAGTGCACATCTCCATGCACTACACGAAGCTGGGGAGCAAGCTGAAGCAGATAGAGAATGGTCTGTGGGCCTCCTCAGCACCCTGGCTGATCAGCAGAACAGGCAATAAAAATCAGAATCTGAAGAAGACATGATTAATGAGAAGATGTCAGGCTCCCATATGGACATTCCCTGCTGGTCAGTCTTCAGGCCACGTCCTTGTAAACAGTGAACAGAAATGAAGGGACAGGAGAGGTGAAAGCTTGCCAGAGTCACAAATAGAGGCTCATGACACCTTGAGCCTCTTCCCATTATTGGTTCTGCTCTACTGGACAAGACAATATAGAAAAGGTGAGGGACATTTCCAAGTTGGTTTGCTGTTTAGTGGCTGAGGTATAGCACTTCAGCTGACTTTGGTGGGGGAGAACCCCAACATTCTTGGCACCATACTGCATACCTCATAGCTAGGAGGGCACTCAGGCTGGCAGGATCATGCACTACCTCAGCTCTTCCCATGTCCAGTGGGAATGTTTTGAACCTGAGCTACAGCATGCAGATAGAATAAATGTGGGTTGTGCGTACACAAGCCCGTTTGTGTCCTTGTTTGTTCCTAACCTCACCGTGTACATGTAATATTAGACATATGCAGAGATCAGCAAAAGAGCTGTGGGAAAAGCAGATTCACAAGGCTGAAAACACAGGTAAGAATACACTTCAGCGATGGGAGTGGCCATGCATCTCAAGTCTTTGCTTGGAAGGAAAAACTTCATGTTCAACCAGTTTACCCAGAAAAGGTATTACCCTCTGTGTATCATCAAATCTCTTGTAAGATAATTTGATACCATTAAATCCACCATACTAAAGCTCCTCCAGACAAAAGGCCCACAGATCTTGGGAAAACTCTGGGTGAAAGCTGAGATTCTTCTTCTCCCTTAGTAACATTTTTGTGCATTCCTTTCAAAACACCTTACATGTACATACAACTTTTTTACCCAGTCTGACTTCTAAGGAGGGAAGGGATTTTCCAAGGGACACTGTTCCTGGAATAAGAGGCAATAAATAGATGATTGATAGTAAGGCTTAAGCAGAGGATGATATTGGGTTCCTGTCTCCCCCTCACACTTGGCATTACCTCAATAAAACACCTTCTACCTCCCATTCCCCTCTAAGTACCCATGCACCCTAAAGGCCCCATCTGCCTGAGACCTCCACCTTCTGCTGGCATTTTCCCTGGGCACCAACTAGCAGGACAAAGCACTCCCAGACTCTCTCTTCACTGCAGGAGCAGAGGGAAGTGTCACCTGCAGGGACCCGTGTGTAGCTGCAACAGTGCAGGGAAGCCCTTGTTTTCACTCCTCAGAGGCACAGCACTAATGCCAGGGGGCTGAGCGATACACAGTCACGCAGCACTGCGGCAACCTCACCTAAAGCAGCTGGACTGATCCCTGCACTAAAGCAAACCGATTTTGGTTATCTCAGAAGGTGCAAATTGGGAGTGAAATGTTTGCCGTGGTTGAGGCATTTATGAGGTCTTTCTCCCCCGTGGAATCTGCTGTGGTTTGTCTGAGCTCTGACATGGAGATTTTAATGGAGAAACCAACAGGGTTTTCCCACTCTTTGGCCTACTTTTCAAGCTTGGAGGAAAACAGAATCTGTGTGCTCTTTGCCATACTGTTGAAAGAAGCTAAAAGTTTTTCCATATCTGAAAGAAAATGGTGAGGGGATTCAGACTTGGGCAGAGGATGCATAATTTAGTTTGCAGGTAAAAGCTCCTATATGAAGGATGCATAGATGCACTTTAGAAACAGTTAAAAAAAATTGCCCAAGCCCTGAGTCTAGGGCAAAAACCTTCAGAAAAATTGTTGGGGAATATCAGAGAGATTATATCCTCACCCTGTCTTCTTGGTATACAGTCTAATACTGAAGTCTAACACTGTTGTAGTCTTGTCCTTTCTCTAGTTTTCTGTCCAAAATTTTTGATCTTGAGATTTCAGCTTAAGGCACATTTATTTCTCAAGGTTTTTGAACACTCTATCTGAGGAAGAAAGATTTGGATTTGTTCCAATGAGATAAGCTCTCTCATTATTTTTCAATTTCTTTTCACACAAACTGTCAAAGCATCTTCTAGGCAGGTCCTGATTTTCTTTTCATTTTTAATAAGAGAGAAGGCTATGATAGACAACAATTTTAATTCTGCAGTAAATGTTTTTCTTACCAAAATAATGTCAAGTGCACTCTAACTTATATTTTCTCAACTACATATATACACACTATTTCAGCACCACGAGCTATGCCAACAACTTGACTGAGTAAAAATTGAAAAAAAGTAAAATCTTGAGTAGCACTGCAAGACAGTCAGTTAAAATTCACTTAACAAAGTTCTGCAAGCTCCGGGGAAAAGACGTGAAGCATTTTCTTAAGAACTGCGTCTCGTCGCCTGGAGAGGGAGAATCCCTCGGGCCGCGTTCCCGTTATGCCAGCAGGCACGGCACGGCCAGCACGCTGCCGTGTGGTTTCACGGCAGCCATGAGGTACGGAACTTTTGCGGAGGCAAACCCGCTGAGATCCTGCTGGGACGGCCAGTGCCTTGACCTCGACGCCGCGAAGAGGGAGAAGGCTCGAGATCCAGCCTGGCACAGCGCTCGGGAGCCGAGCGGCGCCGGGGCAGGGCTGGGCCGTGTGTCGGGGGTCACCGGCCGCCTGACACCTCCCGCCACGGGCGGGGAGCGCCCATCGCCGCCCCGGCCCCGCCGGACACGGCGCTCAGCCGCCCGCGGCTCCGCTGGCCCCGCGCTCCGCTCCGCTCCGTTCCGCTCCGTTCCGTCCCTCCCCCTCCCGCAGCACCGGCTCCCCCTCCGCCTCCGCGGCCCGACCGGCGGCGCTACCCAGCGTGCTCCGCGCCGGCGCAGGCGCGGCCGCTCAGGAAGAGGAAAATGGCATAAACAACCCCGAGCGCCGGGACCGCTGAGGAGGAGGAGGCGCCGCCGCCCCGGGCCGCGCGGCCCCTTTAAGAGGCGCGGAGTCGCCCCCTCCTCCTCCTCCTGCCCCTTCCGGAGCCGGACCCGGGGTGACGGCGGTCCCCGCGCCCCTTCCCCCTGCCCGCCCCCTTCCCCATGGTGCCGACCCCGGCGGCGGGGCGGTTGCCATGAACAGCAGCGGCCTGCCCTGCTCGTCGCCGTCGCCGGTGGTGGGGCCGCCGCCGGGGGCGGGGGTCGGCGTGGCGGGTCCGGCGGCCGGCGGGGCGGGGGCCG